TAAAGTCATTTAAAGCAATAAAAATAATTTAAATTGAGAAGTGGAAATCATGATCTCATTTGAAAAATGTGACAAGAGTAGATAGTAAGTCTCACTGAGACAGTATAAGACTACTATCTAATGTTAAAACTGTGTAATGAGATCAGTCAAATTAATAATGAGACTATTAAAAAATCTGATTCTGATCTCAGACACGGTCACATAATCAGTCTAGATATAGTGAGATATTAAGTAATTTCAGCTATAATTATTTGATTCTGTAGTATTATCTATATAAGATTTATAAGATTATCTGCAGTGTAATAGATAGATTGATTCAGATCATTATTAAAAGTCAGTATTTCAGAGATAAGAAATAATGAAGAATTTAATAAGTTAAAATAAATAAATTCTGTAGATAAATATTAACTCTGCTTTTCTTTATTCTGAAGTTTCTCTATTATCTCATCATTAAATTTCATACTCTGGTAAAAACTAATCTCAGTCTCATCTTATAAGTCAGAAGTCTTGTGGCGTGCTTCTGCTCTCTATTTAAGTTAATTCTCTATTCAGCTCTAGCTTCTGCTTCATTTCTTGCTGTTTTCTGAAGCCTTCACTTCTATCTTCTCTCTCTGTTCTTCTCTTCATATGTAATTACTTCTTCTATGAGAGCTTTCACTTCTTCTCTACAGAGCCTTCATTCTTTTCTTCATATATAATCACTTCTTCTATAAGAGTATTCACTTCTTCTCTACAGAGTCTCTGTTCTTCTCTTCATAGATGATCACTTCTTCTACAAGAGTTAATCTCTATAAAACAATCACTGTATATATAAGAGTGTATGCTCATCTCTCATCTTTTAGAGAATAAGACAAGTTTTTACTCTTATATCTGACTCTATATAGCAGTATATACTACAATTTGATAGTATATCTTGTTAAGAATCAAGTTTTTCTAGCCTCTTTAACTTTCACTCTGCTCTTAATATATATAGCACTGATAATTGAACTGAGCTGCAGACACTAAGAATTGACTAGCTGATAATTAATCTGATTAGTTACTCTACCTTCTTTTAATACTGCAACTAGTGATTGATCTAGCTTGTAATTATTCAGCTGTTTTATCTTCTTCAGTACTGTAGCTAGTGATTGATCTGATCTGCAGTTATTTGAATCTACTTCATTTAATACTACAGCTGATAATAGGTCTGACTAATGATTATTTAAGCATTTTCTACTTCAGAATATTATAGCACTAGTGATTAGTCTAGAACATGATCACAGTTGCAGTAAACTCATCTTTACACTCTTATATAACTTCATCAGCTCTGTCATGATAATAAAGCAGAATAAATGAATTACTTAAAGCAGCTCTTATCAATCACTTTCTTCTGCTGAACTGAATGAGTCTGTCAGTGAAATTGAATGACTTATCTGAGAATTCACTGATGAACCTGACTCAGAATGAACTTACTTACAAACAATGACTGAAAAGTATGCTATTATAATTGCAGAAGTCTGGCAGAACACAGATGAACAGTATAAGAGTGTTAAAAGTTAAGTGACACTTGTAAAGAGTCTACACTGAATAGATTGATATAATATTGATAGATCTTATATAACAAAGATAAAAACACTAGAGAAGAAAAGAAAGAGAAAGTATGAGAATCAGTGATTAAGATGAATATTTATACACATATATAGTAATGTACACAGTGAAGCTTCAGAGTGAAAGAATATACATGCATTTATAGCAGCTGAGAATTAATGATCAAGAATAACTAAGAATTGAAGTGTACATGAAATCTGTGAAGTGTAACAGAATAGTCTATATAATTGATCAGAGTGACAGCTGAGAATTGACAATCAAGAATAACTGAGAATTGAAGTGTATATGAAATCTGTGAAGTGTAATAGAATAGTCTATATAATTGATCAGAGTGACAGCTGAGAATCAGTGATTAAGAATGACTGAGAATTGAAGCATACATAGAATCTGTGAAGTGTAACAGAATAGTCTATATAATTGATCAGAGTGGCGGCTGAGGATCAGCAATTGAGAATGGCTGAGAATCAGAGTGTACATGAAATCTGTGAAGTGTAATGAAATAGTCTATATAATTGATCGGGCGCAGCCTGCCACATTAGCCCCCTCTTTCCAGAAGCAGTTCCCATTGATAAAGGGCTGCTGTTTTGAATAACATGGAACTCGGAGTCTGGTCAGTTGAGAAGAGATTGAATTGATGGCGGCGCGGCGGTTCAGTGTGAAGTATTTGATAAGGGGATATGCTGGAGATTATGATGTCTTACAACTGGAGATTTTATCATTGCATAGTGGCATAGACCGCTGTCTACCATGGCTTTCATACATGTTATCAACCACAGTGAATACAAGGATCGCATCCATTGCCATTTTCTCTTCAAATTGTTGTCATTCAACCTCTTCAAGCTCCTGTTTGCGAATTTGAACAGGAGCTAATCTTTTCCCTGTTTCATTGGGGCATTCTCATAGTTATCTTCTGAATCTTCCTCTAATGTAACGTGGTTATATCGATCGTCGGATGTATGATATCTGTGGAATCTGAAGAAGTGTAATCGTATTCTCATACGTCTGGGTGTCAGGACTCTCGGGTCTTTCGCTGATGTTCTCTTGTAAGATCTTACTCTCTTTGTAAGATCTTGTTGCAGGGCCAGGGCGACTGGCGAGCAAGCTTCTATCTGGGGACTATCTGGGGACTCGGTGTCTGCTTAACTGTGTTTTCTCTTTCTTACGCGTCGTTACGCGTTCGGATATCTCTCGATGGATAATCGTTCCTGATGAGGAGACGATGCGTGGATAATTGTTTCCTAATAAGGAGACGATGCGTGGATAATCGTTTCCTAATAAGGAGATGATGAATGTTTTTATAGTGTAAGAGGCCTACGCTGAATAGATCGGTATAATATTGATAGGTCTTATATAACAAAGATAAAAACGCTAGAGAAGGAAAGAAAGAGAAAGTGCAAGAATCAGTGATCAAGGTGAATATTTATACACATATGTGGTGGCGTACGCGGTGGAGCTTCAGGGTGGAAGAATATACACGCGTTCATAGTGGCTGAGAATCAGTGATTGAGAATGGCTGAGGATCAGAGTATATGTGGAATCTGTGAAGTGTAACAGAATAGTCTATATGATTGATCAGAATGGCAGCTGAGAATCAGTAATTAAGAATGATCAAGAATCAGAGTGTACATGAAATCTGTGAAGTGTAACAGAATAGTCTATATAATTGATCAGAGTGATGACTGAGAATCAGTGATTGAGAATGACTGAGAATCAGAGTGTACATAGAATCTGTGAAGTGTAACAGAATAGTCTATATGATTGATTGAGATAGCGGCTGAGAATCAGCAATTGAGAATGGCTGAGAATTGAAGTGTATGTGAAATCTGTGAAGTGTAACAGAATAGTCTATATGATTGATCAGGCGCAGCCCGTCACAACACTGTACAATTGTATCAAAGTGAAAGATATTCTTATGAGTGTATCAGTCAGGTGTTACAATAACATAAAAACAGCTCTTAACTTCACTTCAGTAGTAGAATGAAAGAATACTATTGATTTCTGATTGCAGGCCTTCTGCACAGACATTACAAAGAATACTAAAAAGAGAGATTTAATAGTCTCAAGCTTTTATAAATTTAACTGTCAGAACTATGCTTCTTCTAATAAAGCAGTAATACTAGATATGATTAAGAAGTTAGAATAGTTAGAAGTCTGACTGGTCTGATAAGAGAGTAAACTCAATGAATATGAATATCAGCTTAATCAGTGAAAGAAGTAGTTGAATAAGTGTATCACTCTTATTAATAAATATATTGACAAACTTCAAGAGAATCTCAAATAATTGACAGATGAAAGAAACAGATTGATGAAAGTATAAAATAGCTTTCATACTGAGAAAGTCATACTCACTGCTCAAAGATAGAAGCTGAACTGTTATCAGCAGATAAACTGTTTAGCTTAGATTGATAGAATAGATATCAGAGCTAATAATTTTCTCAATAAGTCTGCACAGTAATTACATATCTTTTTTGAGAAAGACTTTGAATCATCTTCTAAAATCTGATAAATACTGATAATTTCACAGAGACTATGTAATACTGAAGACAGAATACACTGTTATAATCTAATAAGAGATAGAATTAATTTCCTCAGAGAAGCTAACACTGTATATTTTACTTATAACTCAGAGAGAAACTGAATGTACAGAAATCAGATATTTACTTATAATAATCTTGATCTTCTGCTTGATAGTGAACTCTGTTCATCTGTATGAAGTGATAATAGATCAGTGAGATTATAAGCTAGTGATATCATACTATTTAACTCAGTGAAAATGAATATAATAATATTTATCAGTTGCTTGAAATTCATTATTATATAGAAGAGAGATAATATAATTCTCTATGTATTCTCTCTATATCTGAAGAGTCAGATGTTGAAATGACATAACAGTCTATCTATTAAAATGAGAAAGAATATGAATATCTTTCTTTCTATTACTATTAATAAGTTAAAATGTGAGTTTCAGCTATCAGAAGAAGAAGCTTGAATGAAAGCTCAGATTCTGTATTTTTTCTTTGAAAAGTCAGATGAACTGTTTCTGATATTATACATCTCATAGAAAATTAACTTACTGCAAGCTGCTGTAATCTCTGACTCTGTTATAATAAAGAGACTCTTGTAAGAGAGTTTAGAGTTCAATCTTTTTTTAATTACACTACTCATTCTCATGTGATTCAAAGGTTGCTTAAGTCAGCGTACGATTACAGGCGTACGCCGGCTTCTTATATTGTAATCTCATACACTAAATTAATTAGCGTACACTATGGCCCCTTTACACACATATGCTAGTAGTTCGGAAGCAGCCGCGTTATTATCTGACAGTCATACATTCTTCTGAACCACATCCTTCCCCACCAGATTCAGTCATGCTCATGTGACCATGTTGTATGCCCTAGCTTCATGCGGATTAGCTTGTCACTAGTGTTTCACAATCATGTGGCCTATCCCTGATTCGGCTAGTGTCCCGCGTACACCCTCACAAAGAAACTTCCACTATATTACATCACTCATTCACTAACTTTTCTCATTCTTCAATTATCATCTTCATCATCATTATCATTGAACATCACTATCTCATTCAAGATTCCTACTCCTTCTTCTGTTCAACTCTTTTCATCTGTTCATCTATCACATCATATGTGTTCCTGACAATGACCCCCTGTTCTCACAACAAGTGTCATTGTAGTACTCATACCAGGCAGTTTGTTAGCAGTAAGTGTAATATATTGTGAAATGTGATCAGAACTTGTTTATCTTCTAACAATTGTCAGAATGATGTATTATCATGAATGATGACACATCTTCTTCATCTTCTCATACATTCTTGACTGTTTCTTCTTCTCAGCAGGTTTCTGATTGTGTTTTCTGGCATGATTTTGCATGGACACAGATGCTGATGTTTGTTTTTATTTGCATAGAATCTTCATATGTTGACAGATCTGTGTCTGCTGATGATAGTGAACCCAGTGTTGAATCATTGATTAAGAACTTGAAGAATGTGATAATGAAGGAATTGTCTGTGTCATGTGTGACTGAGTCTTCAGTGTCCTTCTCTGTCTCTTCTGCTGCTTCTTTTCCTGCTGCTCCCTCTCAATCTTCTACACTTGTCCCTGTGTCTGGTTCCCCTGCTCCTGCTACTTCTGTTCCCGCGACCTCTACTTCTGCTACTCCTGGTTTTATTGTCTCTGCCTTTCTTATCAGCTCTCCCTGTTTCAAGGAGATGTTGTGTAGGCTCAGTGAACCATGTTTCTCAGTGTGTATGCTTCTGCCCTTCTTACTGACCTCTAGAACAATTTATTGTATGAAGACTGTGTATAATATAACTATCTGAAGCTCAGTTGCAGATGCTGATTATTATGTTTATTTTAAATATTCATGATGAGATAATCATTCATTCATATCAGAGAATCATCTCTCTCTTCAACAGTGTTAAAATTATAAGTCTTTTTCTTTTTCATCTTTTCTTTCTAATGCTGATTTTTCTGTTCTTAGAGAAAATTATTATGAGTTTTACTGTGCACAAAGTCATGATATTCACAGACATCAAGAAACTTTTTACAACTGTAAAGTTCAATATCACAGAGACATCTGCTCTGATAAATTCCTTCAGAATGATAAATCTGTATCAGTCTATTCTCTGATATCTGTCATCTGACTTTGTGATGCAGGCAAAAGATATCTGTGTTTTTGAGAATGAGAATGCGGATGTTGTACTCTTTTACATCTGTGAGTGTGAGACTCATACATCTTATCTGAGATGTTGTTGTGAGAATGAGCTGTTCACACACTGTGTTCTGCTTTCTGCATTTCTCTGTGTCTCTCTCTCTTTTTCTGAGAAGCCTCATGCATGTTGTAATTGCACATACAATTCTAAGATCAGTGAGTGTTTATTCAGTAATTGTTATCCCTGTTTTTGCAGTTTCATATACTAACAATAGTTCTTAGTTGCTTCAGCATCAGAGATCATTTTAATCAAAGATGACAATGCTGCTGAGACTATCCTCTTCTACTCTTAAGCTTCTTCTGTCACTTCTTCTCCCTTCTCTGCAGAGAAGGTCATGTGCACACTGAGTTATAAGTGTTCAGCCCTGAGTGACTTCTGTCATTTGTCCAGTCCTGCATCTTCTTCTTCTTCTATTTCTTTCACCTCTGTTCTCCCTGTTCTGGCTTCTGGTTCTGCGGGTCCCGCGCTCTTCTTCAATTTCTCTACATGTACACATACACATTTCTATATTGGCATTCCAGCCAATCTTGTGATCAATGACATTAATGTTGTACACAGAGTGATAGAGAAATCAGAGACATGCACAGTGTTGTTGCAAGAGCAGCTTGTGACCCTTGAATTTCTTACAGATCTCAAGTTTTGAGATTTCCTTTGTTTTTGATGTTTTTCAGGTGGCATGGCATTGGAAATAGATTAAATGTGTGGCATATAAAAATGAATGAAGTGTGTATGATAACATTTGTCTTTTGCAGCTGACTCTTACAGTTGATGATCAATTCATCATTTCTTTTCTTATGCTTTTTCTCTATCTGCTAGTCACTACTCTTACATGACCTCTATATGATACAGCATTCAGTGACTAGATTCAGCAGCTTTCATCTTTTGTGATTCTGTCTTGTGTATTATACTGTCTCTCTTCGCCCACTCAGACTACTACAGTGAACAGCTCATTGAAACTAACCTCACCCAACCTCTGAGTGTTCTCAGAGATTGAGATGACTTGGTCTCATGTGTTCACAGATGTTTCAGATAGTTTGTCCTCTGTGATCTCTGTGATTGAACTGATGTAAACAGTTGAATTCAACTCTGAATTTCTTTTTCTTCTGTGACCTGACTCATGTGTAAGTCTGCTGCTTTGAGACTGCTCTTTGCTGTGTTGTGTTCACTGTCTGCAGTGTGTTATTATATAACTGACTACAGTCTCATCACTTATTGAAGTATGATATTTACCTGATTTCTTCATTTCTTTCCATTCTTTTCTTATAATTGTGAAAAGATCAGAATAAGTGAGATCATCTGATTCATAAGCATCTATGATTTCTCTTACTTTGTGAGGCTTTTCAATTGTAAGTCTCTTCTTTTTCAACACTGATGATAGTGCTGTGAATAATCATAATCTGCTTGAGTCTTGTATCTTTGCTTTCACAAGTTGTGAATCATTGATTAAGTTGTGTAAGATCTGTTCCTCTGATTCTTTCAATGCATACATTCTCAGAGAATGTGATTTGAGTATCTTATATGACTCAAACCATCTAGGTTGAAACTTCTCAGAACTCTCATTGTGTATGAGAACTCATGTTCTCATCTTGAGACTCAATTCCTTAACAAGTGAGTCTCATATTCTTTTTGATTGAATTGCTCAGTTCAGGAGTAACTTGTTAGCTTTTGCACATGTGTGGCTGATCTCTTTCAATCTTGGTTCTGTGTCTGTGACTGTTGTGTCCACAACTGCTGTTCCTGCTGTGTCTGCAACTGTTGTTCCTACTGCATCTGCAACTGCTTCCTCCCTCACCTTTTCTGAAGCATTCTCCAGGATGCGCGGATGCAATCCATACAACAGGTAGAATGATGAATGCTTGAAGACTGCATGCTGTTGAATCTGCATGGTCAACAGCACCTGCCTGAGATATTCATCTCATAGTCTCATAGGCTTGCTCACTAGATATTTTGTCAGCATGTTGCCCAAGATTTCATTCAAGCATTCCATCTTTCTGTTTGTCCGCGGATGATATGATGTTGTTCTATGATGTCTTGTCTGTAACTGGCCCATGAAATGTCTCACTGCTTCTCTCACAAGGTTTGCACTGTTATCAGTTAGAATCTCGCGCGGCATTCCATAGTTGACATAGATCTCATTGTGTAGGAACTTCACTATCATCTTCTCTGTCACCTCTGGAACTGCTTTTGCGACTGGCCAGCCAGTAGTGTAATCAATAGCAGTGATTATCCATTGATTTTCATTTGGTGTTCGCAGCAATATGTCTATGAGATCCATCCCTCATTGTTTGAACAGTTGTATTGTACATTCCATCTGGTGTTGCACTTCCTCACATTTCAATCCTTTCTTAGATTCTTTCATGACCTGGCAATTCGGGCACTTGTGAGTGTACACCTGGATGTCCTCAGCCATGCTTGGCCAGTATGCTCTTGATTCAAGTACACTCATAAGTTCAGAGCTTTCTAAGTGACTGAATTCCTTGTGCATATGAGTCATCAAGTTGTGTCTAAATGAAGGTTCTAGATAGAGAGCTTCTGTGTATTCTAGATCGCGGTAAAGCACAATGTTGTTTTTCAATTTTCTCAGCTTGAAGTTCAGAAGCATCTCTTCTACTATTTTTATGAGATGCTTGTCATCTGACATCTTGTCATTCTTTAAGCAAGAGATCATAGTGTTCACTCATTCTGATTCCTTGCATTCTCTCAGCATGTTTAACATGAATGTCTCTTGTGTCTGATTTACAGAACTCTCACTCATGAAATTAAGTCTGTGACTGATTGTGTCTGACATCACTGTGTCTGATCCCTTTCAGTATTTGATATGAAGATTGTATACTTGAAACTCTGAGATTCAATATGCTAAATATTTGAAAGATTTTATTATTAATTATAGATAGATGAGGCTTTCATGATCTGTGATCACTGTTGTTGTATGCTTGTTATCAATATATCTATTTCACAATGCCAGTGTGTGCTTGATTGCTAGCAATTTCTTTTCATGCACTGAGTAATTGAGCTCAGCATCTGATAGTTTTCTACCATCATATGTCACTGAGTGCAGCTTGTCATTCTTGCTCATCTGTAGAAGAGCGTCTTCAATAGCTCATTCAGATGTGTTCATCTCAATGTAGAAAGGTTTATCATGATCTGATTGAATAAGCACTGAGAATGTTGTTACATGTTTTCTCAGTGTGAGAAAAGCCTCTTTGCACATGACATTTCAGATAATTGAATGAAACTTCTTCTTTTGCAGATTTGCATCTGTTTCTCTTAAGAGATCTGAGAGTGATGCAGATATTCATGTGAAATCCTTAATAAATCTGTAGTAGTATAAGATCAACTCAAGAAACTGTTGTACATGATGTATGTTTCTCAGCTGTGGTCAATTTGCTATGACATTCAATTTCTCTGAGATGAGATGTATACAGTCATCACTCACTACATGTCTCATGAACTTCAACTCTTTCATTTCAAACACACACTTGATTGATTTGATGTAGAGCTTATACTCTGCCAGAGTTATAAGCACTTCATTGAGATGCTTCAGATATTCATCATATGAGTTTGAAAAGACTAGAATGTCATTGAGATATATAAGACATGAGATTCTATTCTGTTTATAAAGAATTGTATTCATCATCATTTGAAAGATGATGAGTGCATTTGTCAGACTGAATGACATTGCTAGGAATTTGAACTTCTCTCATTATGTATTAAATATGATTCACAGGACTGACAGTTTGTCTACATGAATCTGCCAGTATTCTGAGAGAAGATTAATCTTTGATAGATATCAGATGTTTCTGATTGTATTCAACTGTTGTTGAATTCATGACAGTGAATATTCATTCTTGATTGTTAGCTTGTTAAGTGCTTGATAATCAATACACATCTGTCACTCTTCATCTGCCTTTTTCATGAATAGAACTGGAAAGTCCCACGCGCTTGATGAGAGTTGTATGAGACTATGTTCTAGAAGGTCTGTGATCTGATGCTTCTGTTCTTCAAGATGTGTTTGTGACAGGAGATATGCATTCTGATTGACTGGTTTTGTGTCCTCTATGTCAATCTCATGTACAAATCCTCGTTCCAGCAGTAATTCCAGTGAAAGATCTGTTTGAAAGATCTTTTCATACTTCTTCAGAAGCTTCTTCATACACTTATCCTCCTGCATATCTTTTATCTTGGTTTCCTCTGCTTCCAGGTCCTGTATGACATACAGAATGCTTTCAGATGAGGTCTTGTGAATTGTTCTCTTTGCTTATTGATGTGTAAGCAGATTTAATCCTTCTATATCAGAGGTGTGAAATGTTCTTCTCATATCAGTTAGTAGAATTGTATGAATCATTTTCTTTCTATCAGTCAACTGCATATGACATGTATGCCATTGAATCTGTGAATTGAACCTTTGAAATCAATTGAGTCTGAGAATGAGATTGTATTCCATGTTCTGCAGCTCTCACGCTCAAATATAGCAAGATCATTCTCTGAAGTGCAAGAGAACTCTTACTTTTGCAGGTGATATCAAATATTAGTTATCAGATAATCTTATGCATCAGGGATTCTTCACTCAGCAGACTTCTTTCAATCTTCAGATTATATGATCATCAATATATTGTGTTGAAGCTTCTGTATCTGCTAACACTTTTGCAGCCATCTCTCAATTCTTACTCAAGTGCCTCTTATACATTAACATTTCAGGCCTCAAGGCATTGAGATGAGTATTCACTTCATTCTCACCTGCACCTCAGTCAGAAGCCTGCTTCTTCTTTGCATTCACAGAATTCAGAGAGTCATCTAATGCAGGCATCTCTTTCACTTTGAAGACTTTTCATAGAATATCAGTGAGTGTCTCTGAGCTCACTGATCCTGCTAGTTTTTTAACTGTGTACACTGAGTGCAATCTTTTGCATCATGATTTTGATGTCTGCAGTTGAAACAAGCTTGATGCTCATGATATCAAGGTTTCCACCCAGGGGATCTCTTTTTCAGAGGATTCAGTGCTTTAGCAATGACATTCAGATCTAGATTCATCACA